CGGAGGTTTAAAATATCTTAGTCGCATTGTTTATTCTTTTTTTTGTTTACTTTCTAAGAAATTTTGGTCATGTTTATATCTATTACCAAAGTAATGTGGATTTATGTTTGTCTCTAAATGTAGATAAAAGTCTACACAAGTGGTTGAGAAAATCTGTAAATGTTTTCTGTAACTATCTCCTAACTTTCCTTGTGAAATTCGAAATGAGTCAGTTTGACTGCTTCGTTAATGTACTGTTAAACAGACTCCCATTGAAGTGTGTCATTTCGCGAAACAAGTACCTCCAGGTATAAATACTTAAGTGCAGAAATATTGCAAGTAAACATTATTAACATTTCCAGTCTCGTGCTGTTGTGATACTTACACGGTACAGATTCACAGAGAACGAGAGTAGAACCACTAGAATTGCTATTAAATACGTCAGCATGATCTGCTTTGCAACCGCTTCGGTGATTCTGTTCATGCGAACATAAAACGACACGGTAGATTGTCAAATTTTATGCACGATAGAACAGAGTGTGTTCAGTAATAAAAGCAAAACTCAGAAAATTCGTAACATTATTTTCGTAAAAATAATTTTACCCACTTAATAGACTTCACATCAAAGCGTTATGGTTTGAAAAGGCAATCTCTTTAACCGCTTTATTAACAGCGTGTCGTATTCGATAACTAAGAGAGTAAACATATATTAGTAAAATCTGGTGAATTTGTTATCAAATAACTGAGATTTCGAAATATAAGTGTATACCTAGTAATTTTAAATAGTCCACAAGCATAATAACCCATGACACTGAGCGACGACTCGGTGACTGATATCGTCAGTAATCCAATTATACAATTGAGCAGGATATGTGGGGATATAATATTTACATTCTTGTCGTGCTGAACTATAAATCCAAGAAATTTTAGAATATCCGAACTGGATAGATTGTAGGGCATTAAAATGTGTATCCATACTGGAGACGATAACACTACACAAAGGCTGAGGATACCAAAACACGACACCTATAAAAATTAGAATAATAACTGAATAGTTATAAGTAGAATAATATTCTCTTCGCGGAGTATCGAAGAAAACATATTTGTTTTTCTTACGCAAGAAGATCAAGACTAAACGTCTCGAAGCAGCGATGTGATTCATTAGTATCTCCTGTTCGTCTAGATTTGGGAGGTCTCTGCAATCCTTGCTTATGCTATCGTATATAAATTTCATCTGTAGTCAGACATAAAAGAATTAAAATCGTCGCATATTCGTTGAACGAGTCTAAATTTATCGATGCATTTAATGATAAGAAATCGGTTCTCTTTAAAATTCTACACAAAAGAATTTTTCAAACCCACTTCAACGCTACGATCACCCATTTCTCCATACACGATGAATCGAAATAAACCAGAAACCAATTTCACATACTTTCAAACCCGTGTGAAACTGGCCTCCCCCCCTTTTTGGAAAACTCAAATTTTTCGTAAGGAGGGGCAACCGAAAATTTCAGTTGGGCATCCATGAGCAAACGATGAACAAACGTATGCAAAAACAAAATGTCGAGTTTTAAAAAAGGAGGGTGGCAGCTTTACACGGGTTACTACGAAGCTTTTTCTTAGCATAACATTTTAAAGGAAATCGATTTCGTAAATTGGAAGTGTTTTACGTTATAAAAGGCAATTTACAAGTGGAAAAGTGTAGATAAAACCAATGTATCGTAGAAAAAACAATAATGTTGGACAGCCGAATGATAACGCCATTACTGTGTTTTGCAATGTAAATTCAGCCGCAGCCAGCAATGTGAACTGAAACATAGTTTCGTTTATTAAACTATTGCAAACCTATGGCTTAAAAAGTTATCATTATTTTTGATATGTATAAGTGCATTTGGGTTTGACTAGGAAAAGCTGATTTTTTTTTAAAAAAAGTCGAAATTATAGGAAATAGGTTGTTTACTTACATAAAACTATTTCCAAAAGGGGCTATAGGATGTTGTTTTGAAATTCCAAAATAAGCCTGTCAGGGTATATGTGGCATACATGTTAAATATAAATGTATATGAATGTATTAAATAAATCAGATATATTCCAAAGCTCCTTTTGGAATACTCATTATGCACCATACAGTAAAAATGAAAAAATATTTAAAAGAAATTTAAGTATAGATATTTGTACACTCAAATAACACGTGCTTTGAAAAGAACCTAACTGATAGAAATGGCACTCAAATAATTAGCTCAAAGATAAGTCTACATCCGTCGTCGATAGAAATTAGAATTGATACATCAAAAACCAGTGAAAACAAGTTTGGTATTGTGGGACAGAAGTTGAAGACATAATCTATTCCTTATGGATGAGTGTTTCATATAAACACACAACGACGTAGGAAAATATTGATACGTTATCACCTGGACTATGACACAGCAGAGTACAATGAAAGCGAAAATTATCCTTTGCACTTTAACAATAACCGAATTGTCGAAGGGCGATAGCCCTGTGATGCACAGCATGAAATAGTAGGTGCGGTAGTGTCTTTGGAATTGATCCATTTCTTCGTCCGAAGCCGAGGAACGTTTGAACGCAAAACCCGCGGCATCGTCCGACTACAGCACGGCGTCAAATTTTATTCACGTTGTCGCTTGTCGCCTCAAATTTCCGAAGCCTCGCTTGTGTCTAATACTGGGATATTATTCCCTCAAATTACGGACTTCCGCTGGAAACCGATCGATTTGATTACCACCGTCGCGGATATTTTAGAGAATGGAATAGGAAATTTAAGAAAATCGGGAGACAATAAATGTTTTTATTCTCCCCCTATTCTTCGAGAAGGGTGTGTATAATTTTTATCGCCAACGTTTGCTTTCAGAATCGACGTGGACACACCTTGGCTTCGTTTGAGGAATAAGAATAGACAAAAGGGCATGCAGACAATCGAGGGAAAATGTGTTCGAAGATTCATCTGTTGCATTGCAAATGGGTGTAATTTGGATTGAAATATTCTGAGATGTATCAAGAAAGCTCCTTGCGGATTTGAGTATTCCTTCTTGGAAAGGCAGGTACGTAAAAATTTAAATACGAGCTTGCCCTAAATGATGCGTTGTTTATCTTCATCTCCATTGATGGGCTCCAACTTTCAAAAGAAATACATTTGACCAAGTGTAGTCATTTTATCGAAGTTAGAATTTTCCATGAATTAAACTGTTGGTGTGTATGGTGAGCTGGTATTTCAGCTCATGCGTTGTTCTAATAACCTAAAAATACCCGTCAGAACGAAATGTTTTAATGGAAAGTAGTCATAAAGGATTCTGAAATGTTAACACTAGGTTTAAAGTATCTCCCACGCTGTCGTCAAATACTTTTTGCCCGTTGTGGTTATGGAATAACATGATTACCAGGTGGACGATCATAATGCCAACAAGAATGATCCAGTGGATGATGTTTCAGTGGATCTTTCATGTCTGTCAATGTGTGTGTTTCATGTCAATAAAGTTTTAATGAAAAGAAGATGTAAAGAATTCTGAAAGGTTCATTCGAAACATTTGGTATCAGTGATGCACAAGACGGATTAGAAAGTGCGGTACTGACTTCGAAATACGGAGGATACAGAACGATAGCGCGGAACCAGAGGCGTCTCATGATTACACATAGCCATCATATTTTATTCACACGGGCCTATTTTTGCTTGAAAACTTCGTCGCGTTGATTGTCCATGCGAATCCGACTGCAATCCTTCTAAATTATAGACTCCGATGCGAAACCGATCGATTTGATTACCACCGTCGCCGGAAATCGGGGAAATGAAATATTAAATTCAGAAGAACCAAGAGGTATTAAAATGATTTCGTTCGCTCTCTTATTTTTCTAGGTAGGGGCTTGGAGTTTTTATTTCTGGCACTGCTTTGTAGAAGCACCGCGGACATTGCGAGGAATAGACGCCTCTCGATTGCGTTCATTTTTTGAAGAATATTTCTCACGTCGACAGTTATAATCGTTGAAGATTTCAATGTTGCTTAAAGAAGAAAAGAAGAAGCGTTATTTTAAGAAGAAAAGAAGGGTATGTACGTATTCACAATACTTTTTACTGTCACTACAAGCCTGTTGTGTGTGCAATATTATAATCACAACAGGTCTGTGGTGTGTGTAAAAAGCCTTATTATTGAAATACCGTGAGGACGAAACTGTACAGATACTCATCTTTAAACACTTTTCTCCGTTCCATTATTCACGACAGTTTATTTTGACGTTAATAATCATTACCCCCAAACAATTAGAAAAAAATATTCTCGTTACATTGGGGTTGGATGAAGATAAACAAAGTATATTATCATATAATAGTTACGAATATATATCGATATCTCCAATGGGTCACAAAGGCTCTAAAAATGGGCTTCTGGAAGAGAAGGTACGTGGAAGTCACAATAAAACAAAGCGAGGCGTTCATTTTTATCATATTTTATTGGCTTTCGCTCCTACTAGCTATCACTTTGACATAAAATGCACACTATAGCTTGCATACAATTTCCTGTGCAAGTTGAAATATGTAATACCAATTTACTGCATGGGAATTAATTCTTTTTCACTAGCAAACCGTAGCTTGTGTAAAGTGCTATTCAACTGATTGGTCTGACCTGATTGGTTTTATGTTTCGCTTACCAGTCCATCATCCATCACGGTTTATTCGTCGGTTTCTCTCTAAGTTAGGAACCGTATCGAACGGTATAGATTACAGTGAAGTAGGAAATTGATGTGTTGATCATCTGAAATTATAATTCCTCGTAAGACAGTTTCCTTCGATCACATAACGAAGCTACTCTTTTTATTCTAGAATTAATTTGATCTATATTTTAGAGACTAACTGCGACTTTAAATCCAGCAATAACTTATTGTAAATATTTAGAAATTTAACCTCTTACATCTGATTGATTTTTGGTGTTCCTAAATAGTTACGTATACCTTAAACTAATTTCTTAATTTAGGAATTTAGAAGGTATTATCTGAAGCGAAGGTA